GCTTTATCTTTGGCTTTAGTGTTTGGTGCATGTATTTGAGTAAAGGTAGTATTAACAACGGACAGTGTACTATCACTCAGAGCATTGTACTTCAGGATAGATCATGAAATTCTCATTTTAGCAAAGACTACCACACTATTCCTCTCCTTTTTATCATTACCAGCCTAGTAGATTATGAGACTGATGCAAAGTAGCCAGTATCCATCCAGCTCAGCTCACACGGACTTCACCTAGGATGCCAACCTTTGTGCAATTTTCCTAGATTTTCCAGATTCCAATTTTCCTAGATTCCTACTTCATATATTCCACTTTCCAATTATTAATGGATGTTTGCAGCCATTTCTCCTCATTTTGAATCTTCTATCAGCAAATGAAAAGTCCCCCACTGGGTGAAAGTATTACTTTGGCATCATTATGGTGGAGTCTCCATTGAGGAGACAGCTCTTTCTCAGTTGCATTTTGAGTGCCTTCCAACCTGAAAGCCTGATCTTGCATCACTATAGCCAACAGTTCTTCTGTTGTCCATAGTTTTCGAAGGCCTGCTACTTCTGAAGTGGAGGACCAGCCCTGCTTCTTTGGGCAACATATGGCTTCCATAATGGAACTTGGAATTCAAATGCCACCAGAAACTATTCTCATGTTTTGGCTTCATTCCTTTCATAGACAAATGTCCCCTCATGGCAGGAAGCAGCCTCTGGCAGATCTGGCTTGTTATCCTGCAGCTCCCACCAACAGAAAGGAAAAGGTGCCAAAGAATGACTCTGACCAGGCTTCCTCCCATGACCAAACTGGTGCCAGGACACCGGAGTGTAATCATTGTTTCTGCTCAAGTGGGGCCTATCCCTGAACCCATTTGTCTAGATGGTGTGTGCTGGGGGTGTTTCTAGAGAAGAAAGAATGGGGAGTTAAAAGCAGACAGTCTATCTGAGGTTTGCTACTGCAGGGTTAAAGGATCCCTGGCCTTGGTTGCACAATATTAGATTGCTGATGGTTTTACTACATCTGTCAAGAGATCACAGCCAAGAAAGCACTATCATCGAGTTCAACCGAACAGACATTTATTGAGCACCTATTAAGTGCAAAATACTGAGTAGGTGCTTTGGGAAATACAAAGAAGATCACAAATTGTCCTTGCCCACCAGGAGCTCACAGTCTTCAAAGGGAATTAAGACACAGTACACCGTCAGTGGCGGTGACACAAGTCCAGGTGACGTGGGCCAAAAGCAGAGTACAAAGCACTGCGGGGTCACAGAACACCATGGACTGCATCTGGGGAGAGGCACAGGGCTCAGCAGGGCACAGAGCATTTCTAGGTGAGAAGTCCCCATGAGACCTGTGTGGCCGCACTGCAGTGTCCAGGGGTGGCTGTACAGAGAGGAGAGGGTCCACTACAGGCCTCAGGGTGGGCAGCTGTGAATGCAAAGCTCACGGGCATCTGCACTTGATGTGCTGGCCAAGAGTCACTGACCACTCGACCAGAAATGTGTCTCCCAGAGGTGGACCCGGAAGCAGTGCAGAGCCTGGAATGGGGATGGGAGATGTTGGTAGGTGCAGGTACGGCTTACAGGTCACTTTCCAAAGGGACGATGGCATTAAGGGATAGAGGGAGAGGGAAAGAATCCACAAAACGTGGCCCCTGGGGCATCTGCACAGGGACTCAGTGGAGGTGCAGCTTCCTGGGTGAGTTATTGAGGGGAAAAAAACTCCAAAATCCCAAAAGAACATCTGAAAAACAGCATGTCTTTCATATAGGCCTCTCAGTCTCATGAGTCCTACAAGTGGTCTTGTTTGAAGACGACAATGAGGTAAAGAGAAGAAGAGTGAAGAACATCTAATACTAGGAAAGGAAAGTGGGAGGGGGAGAAAGCCAAGGTCAGAGGTATCAAACGCTCTAGCCATTTCACGTGGCCGCCGAGATGAATTTAGCACTGAGGACCTTTCTGAGACCAAACCCACACGCTGGCAGAAGCAAAGTTTGCAAACGAACAAGTCAAGAGTCGGGAAAGTGTTAGGAATGAAAAGAACAGATTCTTAGGGGCAGATCCGGTTTGTAGGGCTTTCTTTTTTAAGAAAAGCCAAATGATCAGAAACATACAGGGGAGAATAATAATGAGAATGAGTCGAGGTGACTGAACACATGACCACAGGAAATTGAAAAGGACACAGAAAGGAAGGGTGGGTGAAGGCAAGCAAGTGCTGGGGAGGAGAGGAGTGTGAAGGCACACACCAAGGCAGGCCAGAGCTCTGACATGTGTGGAGAGGCTGGCTGTGGTCTGAGGTGACAGGTCCATCTTTGGTAGGCCAGTACCTGGAGCTACTTCTCACGGCTGGCGGAGGATGCACAAAGAGAGGGCATGGGGCGAACCATGTTCTCGTGAGCATCACCGATCCTCATGGCCACGACCAGCAGCAGTCGCCAGTCTGAGTCCTGGCTGACACAACAGTCCACTGAGCATCCAGTCAAACCCAGCTCTCTTTCTGTCTCTCTGAGGGGACAGCCTGAGACCTGGGCAAATTCAACTCCGATGGCTGCTTACTTGGCACCTCGTCTACCAGGTAAAGATGGTATCTTGGCCCCAGCACAGGAATGCCAGGCGTGGATCACGACACATAAAAGCTTGCCGGGCTCACTTCAAAATGTGACAGCATCACTGCTGACAGTTCACAGACTCCACATCAACCCTGAGCCTAGCAGCATCAAGGGGGGTGAGAACATGGAATAACCAACCACCACCAAACAACAAAAAACCACCAAGAAGCAAACAAGAAAATGTTTCATGATTGGAGTTTTAACTATTTGACCAAGTTTGACCACAGACAGGATTGTTAATTAGGTTTTATAAATAGGCATAGCTAATGTTTTTCTGTACTCCTTCCACTCAAGAACGAGGAGGATATGAAGGCCCTCCTAAAAATCCAAAGGCTACCTAATTGAAAGGTCATGTGGGTCAAGTCACATCTTGACCCTAGAAAACTCCAGATCCCCTGGGCCTTGCCAGCTCCAACTGGCCTTAGTAGAAAGTCAACTAATTTCCAGGCCGAGTCAGGGTGGAGTCAAGGTGATAAAGACTGCAACAGGAGAAACAGGGGACTGGCTACGCAGCAGGACCAAACCTTGATCCGGGTGACTGTGAAATGGTCCTACACTGTCCCTTTGCTCTGAAACACCGCCAGTTCTGAAGCTGACACCGGGGGCAGTGGCCGACGTCACCTCCCAGGCTGCCACAAGTCTTAAATAACCATGTCTACATCTGAGAACAGGGTACCGTGAGCAAGCTGTCCCAGAGGGAGAGTTGATAACTGGCTCCAAACTAAAATGCATGGGCCGCAGCCCCCAGGAGAAAACATGATTGAAGCATAGAAGGATGTAGGTGGAGGGTTCAGGATCAGTCACCACTGGCAGAGGTGGTCTACAGAGAGCTACACTGCTAATACGAAGGTCACGCTCTCTGGTGGTCCCACTCTACCAACGGCTCTGAAGGAGAAAGACGGGCAATCGCCTCCTGTGTAATTTACAGAGTCAGAAACTTAATGGAGGGTCAGCTGTGAACCAGTTCTGACGTGACAGGAGTGAGTGGGCAAACAGCCGGGGGAGGCAGGGATCAAACCAACTAGGAAGAAACACAGCCAGTGGGGAGCTTGGGACCACTACTCTGTTTTCTGCTGGGTGCCAAGAGTCCCTTCACACGAACAACAGGTCAGCACGAACAGGACTGTGTCCTCAGTCGCTTTCTCTGGGGGTCAGAGAGGCAAATATAAAACTGACCAAGAGCAGCCTCGGAGAAAATTCAGTATAAAAACAAAGCCCTTTGAAGGTGCAGATACAGGTAAAAATGTTACGAATTACCAAAAAAAAGAACTTCACTGACACAGAATCTGGGCAACAGGGGCAACACAGCCAACACTAAAGATATAAATTGAGGGGGGAGGGCAGGGAAGCGGAACAAACACAAACCCCTCAACGGAAGGGTTGGGTGCTTAGGGGAACGCTAAGGAGACAAATACAGAGAAATAAATATGGGGGCTCTGGGGCCTCCATGAAAGCTACTAGTGCTCTTTCTTGGCTTGAGACGTTTTCAAGACTGGAAAGAAGAGGGGAAATAAAAGTTTTTGGCAAAGTTGTACAAACTCCACTTTGGGGCACCTTTTCATGGTTGTGGACACTGAACTGCCACAACAATGGGGCTCTTTACACAACTTCACGCCCCACGGTGTCTTCTGAGGCAAAGACACTGATTTGACAGGCAAGTCAAGGGTCAGGGTTCCAGCCTGGCGGGCATGTGTCACTCACCAGACAGGGGCCACCCCACAGCTGAGGACCTGGGCTCGTCCGGTGAGCCTCACTCCCCTCTCCGGCTGAGTGGGAAGAGAAGGATGGACTACAGACAAGGTCTTCTGGCCCGGCTGGTCTGGGAGTGGAAGGCTGACCTGCTCATTAACCGCAAATAGGCACAAGGCGCCATCTAGTGGCACCACTGGTTCACTTACAAAACAGCTTCCAACAAAGACCCAACGGCCGTCCAACTGCAAGCAACTCCAATCACAAAGTGAGGCCCGAACAGACTTCATGTGGGCATATTCATTTCAAGAAAATATACTTTAAGAGATCTTGCTTTCCTTAAGAAAGCAATTTTTTTTTTAAATTTTATTTTTATTTAGAAAGGCTAATTGTATCTATTTGTCAATATTTTCAGCTTTAAAGAAAATAGTTTAAAAAACATAAAAATGTAAATATACTTGAGAATAAACTGCTATGAAACAATTCTGAACAGGCAGAAAAATGTAGGCTTTCCTTTTTACAGAAAATGGTAAATCTGTAACAGCAGCATCATTTATATGTAGAAAACAGCTGGTTTTGAAACCTCAGATTCTTTTACACACAAAACATAATTTTTTCTATACTACTCAACACCTCTTCACATTATGTTACTTGCCACCAGGTACAAACATTAGCTCAAGTTCATCAGTCAGCCCGGAGCTCCAGCTTCCCAAAGCCATCTTCAGTCCAAGACCATGGCAGACAGGGCATTCAGATCTTTCATGTACGGATGGGCCGCCAGAATCTGGTCGATTTTCAGTTTTTGCTCGGAATCAGGGAAGATCTTGAGAAGGGCTTCCCTCAGCTCGCTGGTTTCCGCAGAAGACCTCTGGGCTGGTCCGGGCAGATTTTGCTGGATATTGGGAAGAAGTGGGAAGTGGGGCTGCTGAGGAAGCCAGTGGCTTGGAGGGGCTCCCTGAATCCGGGCAGGAGGCTGGTGGCTGGTGTTGACTGCCTGGGCACCAGGGACTCTGAAGCTGGAGTCGAACATGCCCATATTTGGGAGGGCATTGAGGAGAGGCTGCATATTTCTGTGGATGAAGAGCAAGCGCTGGTGAGCTGGGTTACAGTACAAATGTGAAAGCCTTATAGAATATCTGCTCACTGTGAAGCTTCAGAGACCCACCCCGACACAATGAGGCCCCTTCAAGACAACGCTGGGAGCGGTCAGGGCAGCTGCCTATGGGAGAGCCTTTGAGGATTTCACAGTCAGCATTTCTAGACTGGTCGTGAGAAGCACTGATAGTTCTTCACATTCTACCACAGACGCATGTCTACTGCTACGAGGACTGACCCCAGCCAGCTTTTTCTAAACCACAGAATCACCTGGGCTGTTTTCATAACATAGACAACAGGATCTCCCTCTTCTGGGAATTTAGATGCTGCTGAGGAATCTGACTGGCCTGCAGATATTCTTACAGGAGCTGCCCCTCCCTGTCCAAGGTCTCAAGAACAGGGCACATACACTTGAAAAGACTCCCCACTGAACCTTGCCTGCAACTGACAAAAGGGGCGAGCTGGTCACCTTTCCAACTCCTTTGTGGTAAAGGATGTCACTTACTTTGTAATCACTGAGTTAAAGACCTCTGTAAGGAGCCAGGGGATGACTAAAGGCAGGTGGGACTGATCGATCCTTCCCATAATGAGATTGACCTACGAGCTTTTTTTAAATTTTATTATTATTATTATTAGTGTGTGTACCATCAAATCAGATCTGACAGGAGGAGATTGTCCCTCCTCCTTCAGCAGAGTATCTGGTGGATTCGAACCGCATGCCTCTGGGATTGCAGTGCAGCTTCTTTCCACTAGGCCACCAGAGCTCCCTGATCCACGGGCATTAATGCTGACAAGTAGATCTTAGGTGTGAAAGCCCAGCAGATAACTTCCAAGTTCAAGTGTCTGGGAGAAAAATGAGGTGCACTGCTACCTAGTAGTTGCTAAAAAAGTCAGTGTGGACAGAACGGCATGACATTTGGGAACTAATTCCTCAACTCTGTAATTCAACCCCGAAGTGCAAAACCTGTCCCAAGACCAGGAAACAAAAACTGTGCTGGTCTCCTCTGCAGAAGATTCCCCTGGAAAAGTCCACCCCTGCCACCATCCATCACAGACTCTACACCTAAAACTGCCAAAGGATGCTGTTACAGGTAGAAACAATCAGCTGGGAAGCTTCACTCCCTTAAAGCATGTAAGCTGTGCATCTGCCACCCCACAACATCTACACAAATATCTGGTGGAAAACAAAGCACAGAATAAAAGCATTTTAAAAGAGAATACATTTGCCACTAGATTATATAGAATTTGCTCAGCTAGGTATCCAGGTAGGTAATCGTGTCTACTATCTGAGGTTCTTAAGAGAATCAACTGTTGGCAATGGTGCAAAACCAAGGCAAAAAGAAACCATCCCCAAACTAGAAGCAAAGAAAAACTAAACCATCAAATAAATTCCAGATCAATATGGCATAATACCTTATTGAGACATAAGGAACAATTACCCAGACTTTAATAAACTAATATAACAGGAAGCTCTGGTGAGTCAGAAGTTTCACTGGCAATCCAAACGCAGGCAGCTCAAATTCACCAGCTGCTCTTCAGGAGAAAGACAGGCAATGCCCTTCTGTGCAGCTTAGAGGCTCTGAAAATCTGCTAGAGGGTCAGCTATGAGCTGGTTTCACCTCAATGTCACATAACAACAATATAATATATTAAAGTCGACTTGGAAAATGAATATAAAATGATGTATTACATGTAACAAACCAATCTAAGTGGCCTTGCTAATAAGCAACCACCCCACCTAGGAAAAACCACACAGGGATCTGGGGTACTGCCTGATTAGCTTCCACATACTTCACACCAGTACTGATTTTGAGGCTTTTAAAAAAACACAACCACCAACCCAGGGGAGCTCTGGTGGCCTAGTGGCAAGAAGCTGCACTGCAATCCCAGAGGCACAGGGTTCGAATCCACCAGATGCTCTGCGGGGGAAGGCGGGACAATCTCCTGTATCAGTCAGATCTGATTTGATGGTACACACACACACACACACACACACACACACACACACACAAATAATTAAAAAAAAACCCAAACAAACAAACAAACAAAAAACCACAAACACCCAACCCGCCACTGTCAATCAAGGACAAGGAAGTATAAAAAACTTAATTGATAAAAAACAACCAATATCATAAAACAAAACACAACCGAAAAACAAAAAACAAAAAAACCACAAACCCTTAATTGAAGCACATATTGAAATGTAACTTTGAAAAGGAAATACCTAAAGGCTTCCTTCCGAAGGAATTCTTCTAATCGGGGTCCGCTTCTTCCCAGGGGATCGTCAGGAACCATAAATATGTCACCCACAAAAGTATACTGAAGCAGCCTACAACAGAGAGAGTAATTACAACGCTGAAGGAATGACGACATTCTTTTTTTTGCTACACGAACTGAGAAGAAACTCTCTCACAGCAGCCATCCAATCCTAGAGCAAATGTCTAACCTAAAAATTCTGACATTATTTAAAAAAAAAAAAATCACCTGGGTTAAGCAGTTTACTTTTTTGGCTATAAATACCACACAGAGAAATTAGATCAGCTGGCCCTTGAATGTCTTACAGAGCCTTTCAGATGTTTATCTTTTTTTTTTTAGAGAACAATAAAGTAAACTTTAATCTAATTCTATGACTTCAGAACAACACAGCCAATGATTTTAATGGGAAAGAAAGGGATTTTGAAACTACTTGGCCTAAGAATTCAATTTTTAAATTTTACTGCTATTTCTCCCTACTTTAGTAAGAGGACTATTCTGTCATATTGACTGTTCTACCCATTATTAAATTATCTCAGAAATATTTTGCTTGCACATGACATTAATGATATTGTTCAATAATTTCCACTTTCTATTGAATCACCTTTCTTTGGAATAGGAATAAAAATATATCTCTTCTAGTCAGTCAGCCAGATAGCTGTCCTCCAAATGCCCTTGCATAGACTGGTTCAGGGCTGCATCTGTCGTTTGAAACATATCAATATCAATTCCTTGGACCTTATTTTTTGCCAATGCCTTCACAGCAACTTGACCTTCTTCCTTCATTACCATTGCTCTTGACCATATGGTTGATGTTGTTATGTGTCATTGATTCACTTGTGACTTATAGCAACACTGTGTACAACATCCCTAAACCCTGCTCTAGCATGTGCCAACCTAATTGCCTCTGATACACCTACTCCCATTTCATTACCCCAGTCACTGAATCAATCCATCTCACTGAGGGTCTTCCTCCCAAGCATAATGTCTCTCTCTCCAAGGACTGATCCTTCGTTGCAACATGCCCAAAGTATGTCAGACAAAGTTTCAGAATCCTTGCCTCCTAGGAACAGCCTGGTTTCACCCTCTCTAGAACAAACCTGTTTGTTCTCCTAACAGTCCATGGTATATTCAATACTCTTCTTTAGTCCCATCGCTCAAAGGCATCAATTTTCCTTCTATCATTCCTACTCATTGTCCAGCTTTCTGACACATAGCCAGCTATTGTGAAGACTATGGTCTAGATCAGGCACACCTTAGTCTCCAGACTTACATCATTGCTCTTCAGTACTTTGGAGAGGTCCCTGGCAGCTGACTTGCCCAATGCAATTCACCTTTTCATTTTCTAGCTGCTGGTACCAAGAGTGTTGATTGTGGAGCCAAGCAAACTGAAAACTGTTAACAGTCTCAATCTCTTCACCATCTATCATGATGCTGCCAATAGGCCCAGTGGTGAGAATCTTTGTTTTCTTGATATTGAGCTTCAGTCCATATTGAAGGCTGCAGTCCTTGACCTGCAGCAGCAAGTGCTTCAGGTTCTCCTTAGTTTCAGCAAGCAGGATTGTGTCATCTACATAACACAGATTGTTTTTTTTCCCTTTGTTTGTTTGTTTTTCTATATTTTATTAATTTTCATAAACATTTACAGAGATTTTGGGTTTCCATTCATTCCTTGTTGCACTTCAGATGTTTATCTAAACTTAGCAAACAGTTTCTAATACTCATAATACAACTTGGTAAAACAAAAAGATTGTCAGCTAAGAACCTAACATGTACTTAAAAGACTTAATTTTTGGATGAAACTGTATTAAATGAGTCTATAGGCAAACTCAAGATAAGAAGGTTTTTAAAATTAATTTTAATGAAAGTTTACAGAGACTTTGGATTTCCATTCATTCATTGTTGCACTTTTCTCCCTGCCCATTCTCGCCAACCTCCCACCCCCCCACTTCAACTCTTCTCTTTGAAAAGTAAAATTCTTTCCTTGTTATACAATCCGTCCTCCCAAGTCCACTCCACTATGCAGCCTTCATTCTGGACTCCTGTCATGACAATAATAGCTAATCATATATCCCTTTTAAACAGTTTTCTCCCTCATCTGTTTCAATGCAGTACACATAATTTACCCCATCTTTCTCAGTCTCCCTCCAACCCCAATGTCAGTCTCATTTTACAACAGTGGCACTATGTAGTATTTATCCTGAGTATTTGCTGAGATATTTCACTCAGTATAATGTCCTCCAGGGTCACCCATTTGGTATAATATTTCATGAGTTCCTTATTTTTCAATGAAGCATAGTATTCCATTGTGTGAATATATCACAGCTTTTCTATCCATTCGTTTGTTGATGGGCACTTAGGTTGTTTCCAACTCTTTGCTATTGTGAACAAAGATGCGATAAACATGGGTGTGCACCATCAGTTTTATAAAAAGGAAAGCACTATAATACATGAAGAAAGAAAAGATGAGATCAGTAAAGTATTATTTATCAAGTCTGAGGAAAATGCAAAAAACAAAGGTAAAAAAACAAGGTCAAGAGTGTGTGCTGTTCCCCAGATCTCAGACTCCGTTTTGCTTTTGTGACTTCTGAAAACAGCGAGCTGGTCTTCAACATCCAATCTTGACTGTGCTTAAACCCGTGTTCCTATAGGGTCTTGTGGTGTAGTCTGCAGGGAGTTAAAGGTGGGACCTCTCTGGGACCAAGAATCTATCCACCAGCAGCTCTGCAGAAGGACAGGCAATCTCCTCCTGTGTGGTTTACAGCCTCTGAAAACCTCCTGGAGGGTCAGCTCAGTCAGTTCTGACTGGGTGGCAAGGAGTTTGATGGGTCTGTTTGTGGTTTTGTGTTTTTTTTTTTAGTTCATACAGGTCAAAATTCAATAAACAATGACAATGAGCCCAAACCAAAAATTCAACCAAAACATGTCCTGGAAGGTTGCTGTGGTTAACTATCATTAAGTTGGCCTGGCTTCACAGCAAACTGCTCCAGACAGAGGGTTTTCAAAGCTGTGACTTTACGGAAGCAGAACACCAGGCCTGTCTTCTGAAAGGTCTCTCAGTGGACTCCAACCATCAGTTTCTCAGTTCAGTGTGGACCCATTTGTACCACCCAGCTTCCTGATCCAAGATTAATGTCTAGTTAAATGTGCCCAGAGGGCCAAGCAACAATAACCAGCTCAGCTAACATCTACTTTTTAAACAGCAGATGGATGAAAATGTATACAATAATGAAGTCTTACTTGGGTATTTCTAACAGGGAATCAGTATCTAAAAATCTTCTATGATTTAGTAAAGCATAAATACCAGACATGAGACAACTATGAAACAACTGAGATGAATGTTTGTTTGTGGAATATTTATGTTTTAAGATATGGGACACTGTACGACATGGACATACACATTACCACAAACCATTCGTCCAGCTGCTCAGATTATACGTTTAGCATTCACAATGAATGAACAGACTGAAAAACTCCTGATACACACCTTACCTGATTTTAAACTACAAATTATCTCTCTGTTCTCTTCAAATGACTGCCGCTTGTTCTACAAACAAGTTTCAGCACATTTGCGTGTTCTAGAATTTCCATTCTTCACAATGATAGCTTAATCCATTATGATCCACCTAGTCAAAGACCTTTGCATAGCCAATTATATAAGTAAAGAGCTTTCTCGTGTATTTTCTATTTAGTTAAGATCCATCTGACATCAGAAAGGAAATCTCTCATTCTACATCATCTTCTGAATCCAGTTTCAATTTCTGGTCATTCCCTGTGGCTGTATTTCTGCAACAGGTTTTGAATTGTCTTCGGCAAAATTTTACTTGCATGTGAATAATCGCAGTACCCAATAATTTTAGCATTCTGTTGGATCACCTTTCTTTGGAATGGGCACATACATGGCTCTCTTCCAGTCGACTGGTCAGGTAGCTAGCTCCTTTTTCCAAATTTCTTGGCAGGGATGAACAAGTGCTTCGAGCACTGCATCCATTTATTGAAGCATCTCAATTAGTATCCTCTCAATTCCTAGAGCCTTTCTTTTCAGCAATGCCTTCAGTTCAGTGTGGCTTTTTCCTTTACTACCACTGACTCTTGATCGTGCTTCTTCATCTGAAGGCAGAGCACATAATCCAAGAAGCTGGATAATATGAAGAAGAGTGTACCCTCTGGTTTGGAGGAAAGCTGAATAACCACTTGAGCCATACAGATGACACAACGTTGCTTGTTAAAAGCAATGAAGAGCAAAAACTAGTGCCTTCAGAAAGGATTACACTTCAATATAAAGAAAGTATAAATTCTTGTAATGACACCAATAAACAGGAAAAAAAAGAAAGTTGTCAAGATTTCATTTTACTTGGATCCACAATTCATGCCTATGGAAGCAGCAGGTAAGCCATGAAGTGATTTGCATTGGACAAATCAGCTGCAGAAGAACTCTTTACTGAGGCGTCAAAGCTGGACACTAAATAAAAGAACTGATGCCTATGAATTATGGTGTTGGGGAAGAATACTGAATATACCACAAATTGTCAGCAGTACAAACAAATAGGTCTTGTCGAAAGTAAAGCTACAAAGCTCCTCAGAAGCAGAGACTATGGGCAAGTCACCAGAAGAGACTGTGCCCTGGGACGAGACATCATGCTTGGAAAACCAGAGGGTCAGTGAAAAGGACCTCAAGAGGATGAACTGGAACAGCGACTGTCAACAAGGCCTCAGAGCGATGGTCACGAGGATGGCCCAGGACGCACCGCGCGGTGGTACAGAGGGTCACTGGGAGCTGGAATCTACCTGAAAACCCCGAGGCACACACCGTCAAAGCTCACTGCTTTTTGTTTTCAATAACTGGTCAGATGATGTTGTAAAAGGACGTATTTACTGATCTTAAGGAAGTTTTCAGCAGTTGGAGAAATTCACGGTTATCATCACAATGCCTGTTGTTTCACAGATACCAATGATCTCTTATAAGAAGATACCATATGGGCCGCACACCCTCACCACCAACACCAGCTGTCTTCCAATTGATGCTGACTCATGGCACCTCCACGTGCTGGAATAAGGAACATGCTCTAGAATGTTGTTAATGGCTCGACTTTTAAAAGCATACCGCCAAGGCCTTTCCTCCCAGGTGTCTCCGGTGGCCTTTAACCCCCTTCATACTGGTCAGCAGCCAAATACATGACTATCAAATGCACATATTTTGAAAAACGTATTTAAACTGAACAGATCATATGACTAGCATCCAATTTAAAACAAACAAAACAAAACAGAACATCAGCACCCAAAAACCCATAAATCACTTCCAAGCAGTCAGTGGACCGGGAGAAAGTCTTATTATACTTGTGTTCCCTATTCTGCTTTCTGCAGAATCAGGGAGGACAAAACAAACAAAAAATAAACAACAAAGCATTTTTGACCGTAGACAAAGAAAAAAAAAATTACCTTTTTGTAATAATTTCTCTCCAAGAGACTGACTCGGTCACAAATTCTCTGAAGTTATCATTTGTTACAATTATGCCACCAGTTTTGTCTGCTAAGTGTAGAAGAAACCTATGGCAATATAAAAGAAGTTATGAAGGGCAGACAAGCATCCTGCCTTAGAGAAGCTGTGTTACAAAAAAGCAGAAGGATTTCCCCTTCATAGGAAAATCACGGAGTCTCTGCCAACCTATCAGAAAAACTGACTTGCTCAGAAATTATTAGTGTGGTTATCAATGGAAAGCTGGTGCTCATACAACAGAAGTCTGCCTTTTATGACTCTATTATCATCTGTAGGGAGCTCTGATAGCAGTACTGTTAGCCCAAAGATAGCCCTTCTCTGGTGGTCTGAATTCATAAGCAGTTTGTGGGGTAAAGATGGGAAACTTCTTCCAGTGAGATTTATAGTCTCCAAAAACCCACTGGAGAATCAGCTATGAGTCAATCCTGCCTTGACAGCACTGAGTTTGAGACTCTGACTTAAACCGTGTAGAAATGCTACACTATTGAAAAACAGAGGTAATTTATGAAAATGCCAGAGGTCCACAGTAAAGACTAGAATAGAGCTGACAGCCTGGGAACCATTACTGAGGTTTCAGTTGCTAGGCTACAGTATGCAGGCTCCAGGAGGGGCTGCCTGGGACAGTCATCACTTTTTTAATTTATTAGTTCACATTTCTGCGGTGATTTAAGAAATGTGGAGAACTGCCATTCTGTTTAGTCTAAGCTATATTCTGTACACGCAAGTTATGGAAGGATGTAAAAGGGTTAAGTTTTATACGTTAAACAGGAAGCCCATTTATTTCACTGGGGGAAATTATTCACATTCGAACCCTATTAATAAAGGATACACAGGCGAGGCTAATGTAGGTTTTATCCTTCAAGATGATACTCTTTCTTAAGACAGTGTAGGCTAAGATAATGAGTAATCAAGAGGACTGAAGGGCAAACAACTGCTTTTACTACTGAGAGTAAACACTTAGGGAACTCTAGCGGTTTAAGTGCTAAGGAGCTGCACTGCCCCCAAAAGCCGGAGGTATGAACCCACCAGCTGCTCCACAGGAAAAGTATGGGCATTCTCCCCCTGTGCAATGGGTAGGCTCTGAAAACCCACTAGAGGGTCAGCTATGAGTTGATTCCAACTTGACAGTACGTAACAAAATGAATACTTAAAAGAAATCTAAAAAAAACACCAACAACCTCTCATTAATTTCAGAGATACTAGAAGATGCTACAGGGCGCTCCTTGAAGGCAAGTAGAGTGAAACCTTGTCTCACACACTCTGGGCATACTGTTAGGAGGGGCCAGTCCTTGGGAAAGGACATCATGCTTGGAAAGGTGAAGGGCCAGACCTTCAAAGGGGCAGAATGACACAATGACAAGGGGCTAACACATGCCAGAGATGGTGAGGATGGCTCAGGATAGGACAGCGTTCAGATCCATTGTTCATAGGGTCGCTCTAAGTCACAGTACCTAACAACAACAACAAAGTAAAAATGATTTCGTTCCTGGGATTTGCCAATGACTGACTATTTTACAAATCATTTCCAAGTGCATATGCTGGTGTGTGAACAAACCTGCTGTGGTAGAGAACCTGGAGGTTCTTCATGAGCCCTAAGCCAAGCTGCTCCTACCTGAGCCCTCTAGGGCCTAGCAGAGAGGTCTGGAGCACGAAGTGCTTCCACCCAAGCCACTCGGTACTTTCTCATCCCATGCCCCTGCTCCAAGCACTGTTGTCGTTAAGCTTCTTCCTACTCTGTTCTTTCATGCCAACTCCCTGCCACTGCTTATCACATATGGTCTGTCATACTAGCCTGGTGAGAAGCAAGGGCTTGGACCTTTGCTGAATAAAATGTCTGCACTCAACTTCCCCTCTTCCATCAAATCCCTTTTCTCATCTCTGACTCATTGGACAGTAATTCACTGACCTGCTTCACAAGCAAAACACTCTGATTTCTCTTCAAAGGGAGCACTCTGGTTGGGACACTGAAGCAGGAACACCAAGGCGTCTGTAAGTACTACGTTGCTGTTGTCAGGTGCTCCCGAGTCGAGTACGACTCGCAGCGACGCCATGAACAGCCGATCTGAATCCTGCCCTATCCTGTGCCATCCTCATCTTTCTGTCTTCTCTCTGACACACTCGAGCCCACTGCTGAGGTCACCGTGTCAAGCTGTTGTTAGGTGTTGTCGACTAGGACGCACGGTGATCCTATGAACAGATCTGAACTTGTCCCATCCCGCACCATCCTCGCGATCTCTGTCACGCTCGAGCCCACTGTGGTAATCACTGTGCACAGGCTAGAAGAAACGCAACAGGTTGACTACAGGCGAAGAGAGTAAGCAGCTGCCATTTATAACACCAGATGCGAGGAGACTTACGATGACTGAGTTCATGCAAGTGGACAAGATTTTAAAAATGAGCTCCAATAAAAATTACAGCATTGGAAACCTGCAGGCAGTTTTACTGCCCCACAGGATCCCCATGACGTGGAATCGACCAGATGGCAGCAGGTCAGCGGGTAATGTTACAGCTCAAATCTGGAACCTCCCCAACCTTTATTATCTGTCTATGGCCTTCACCTCTAAACACAAACTGCACAGAATGTGAAGTGTGTCTGCGTCATATGTGACCTGGGAAACTAGCTGTGCCCTCTGGACTTAGCTCATGCTCAGTGAAGCCCGGGGTACGGGGGGGAGGGAGTCTTAAAGCGAAGAGTGACGTTTCTTGTCTAATGTGTACTAGTAATTGCTTTCTAAGTAACAGAAAATCTAAGAAATGCAGAACTTACTCCTATTATAACAGAGTTGGCCGAGATTGTTTTTCTATTATGCAGAGGAATCAGTGAGGACCTGGCCATTATAACAACAGACTTGAGCTACTGGCCAAAAGTAGAACAGAAGGTAAAGTCTGGAAAACCAGTTGACATTATCACATGGAGACAAGACAGGTCAAAACACACACTTTACTTTCCTGTTAGCAAGCACCAAAAGATTTCAACTAAACAGCCATGTTCACTTCACTTAGAGTGCCTTGGCCATGTTTTAGTTAAAAACAACAACTAACCATTCCAGACCTTGGTCAGATTGTCCACGCTGCTACTAAAGCCTGAAGTTGAAGACTCGAGTTGGGATGTTGACTGTGGACCATAATTCTTATTGTTCCTGTTTAAAAGGTGGAGAGTGCCTAGTGAAGTTAGGTGACTTTTATTCCTTTTATGATGACTACTTTTGGTGGGCCTGAAATGCTGTTTTCAGTCAGTATTTGTGTAGTTCGGTGCTTTGTTTAAAGGTAAGTGTTTTCAGAAAAGTATATTTTGCATATATTTTTTTTACAGTCTAAATTTTGACTGCTGAGGAGGTTCTATTGTACAAAACTTCATTTAAAAGATTTTTCTACTAAATCCAGGGTATTCTGAAGTCAAATCCTGTGTGTAAAATGCTACCAAATGGCAAAAAAGTAACAAATAGTTTTGATTAGAACAACAACAACAAACTCGGCAGTTTGTTTTGATAATACTCATAAAACCATACCAAAAAGATGGCCGAACATTAACTCTCATGACTCTAAATGTTAAAATTCTCAACCCCTACATCAAGTGAATCCTTGAAAGTGTGAGTCCAGACACTCACCAATGAGCTGCCTGTCTCAGTAGGGGGTTGGCTACTCAGCACCCCACACCCACTTTAAAAAGGAAATGGTCTCCCCCATACCTGTCATCATGAGAAGCAATTCTTTCTCCAAAGACCATTCGTGCAGGAGTTAAAGATAATATTCCAAGTTCCTGAAGCTGGGTTAAGAAGTGTTGTTCTGTTCAAAGAATAAGTTGAATACACATTCAGAACAAGCTTCTCATACGTTTAAGTAAGTGAGTTAAAATAAGTCTAAATATTTCACTGGCAGAGATGTGGAAAACCTTTTTTCCCCCTCAATTAACTAAAAAAAGACTCCCTAATTCACTGGGTCAGGGAGGAGGTTAGACTGTGGATTAACCAAGGCAGATGCCATGCATAATCTACTTCCAGCTATGTTTTAAACACAAAAACTGTTTAATTTTCCTCTAAATGAAGAAAACCTTAAGCCTTTATTTAATGAGGCTGGACTCTATGAGGAGAAATGTGGCATCAGGATTGGAACAAGACTTACAACAATCTGTGTTATGCAGATGATACAACTTTGCTTGTTGAAACTGAGGAGGACCTGAAGTGCTTGCTGCAGAAGGTCAAGGACTATAATCTTCACTATGAACTGCAGCTCAACATAAAGAAATCAAAGATTCTCACCACCAGGCCAATTGGCAGAACCATGACAGATGGAGAAGAGATTGAGGTTGTTAACAATTACAGCTTGTTTGGCTCCACAATCAACCCTGCACCAGGAGTCAGGAGATTATAAAGATAAACCGCAGTGGGAAAATGTGCTGTCAAGGACTTCTCCAGAGAACTGAGAAACAACAATGTCAGTCTAGAGACCAAGATGCGCCTAATCCAGGAGCACAATTATGTGCTTCACAATTAGGTGCTATGCATCTGAGAGCTGGAAAATGACTAAGGATGATAGAATTGATGCCTTTGAGTTGTGGTGCTGGAAAAGTGTCTTGAACACACCATGAAAAACAAATAGGTCTGTATTGGGAGGATGAAACCAAGTTTCTCCTCGGAGGATAGGATTTTGAAGTTGTGCCTCATATACTTTGGGCTCGTAGCCAGGAGGGACCAGTCCTTGGAGAAGGACATCATGCTCGGAAGGGTGGAGGACAGTGCAGAAGAAGAAGATCCTGGATGAGATGGATAGATATAGTAACTGGGGCAATGGAGGTAGATGTGCTGGAGTCAGTGAGACTGCCTCAGGACAAAGCAGGCTTCAGAGGTGCTGTACACAGGATCACTATGAGTCGCAGGCAGCTCAAAGGCACATAACAACAACACAAATATAACTATGTTCTCTCTCCACTCTTTCCACATACATTTTTTTAATTCTTTTTTAAAAAATTATTATTATTTGTATGTGTGTGTGTACCGTCAAATAAGATTTGACTGGTACAGGAGGAGATTGTTCCTCCTTCTCCAGCAAAGCATCCACATACATTTCTTAAAGTCTCTGTTCAAATGATGTTTTACTATAATGCTTAGATTTGGAAAATTAGTGGGGGAAAAAATTGGTATTAAAGTACAAAGGCGACTTAAGAAATGAGAATATACCCCAAGAAAATAAGAACTGAGGCTCAAACAGAAACTTGTACACCAATGCTTATAGCAATGTTATTCACTATCGCTAGAACATGGAAACAGCTCAAATATCCAATCACAAACGAATGGATTGAGAAGTTGTGGTACATTCATACAATGGAATCCTACACAGCATGCAGGAGCAATGATTTTTTAAAATTACTACATAACTCAGTCCCACAAGGACTAATACTGTGTAAAACCATTATTGTAGAGTGAATACGAGGATCCATGGGGTGAAGGTGGAAGCAAAGGGGTGAGGATGGGCAGAGGGGTGGGCTGTTAATCATAGGGTTGCACAGTTTGATGGGGATATGTGTGTGTGAAGGAAATGGGATCTTTTGGGTAAAACAATGTATTCACACTTTGTAAATAAATCAGTATATAATAGAAAAAAGGGAAAAAACACAGATGTTGCTGACAAAAAAAGAAAAAGAAGACATGAAAACTACTAAGTGTAATCCGTTTACAATTTTCTTTTTCACACAAGCTGCTTCCTGTGGCTCTGTCCTAAGCAGTATGTCAGCAATTAAAAACCAACTCATTACACGTCTAATTTAAAATAAAATGCGTCGGCCTCACCTGTGACATTAGGATCACGCCTTGTTCTCCACTGAGGGACAAACACAGTGATGTTTCTGTTGCCAAGCTTCCAAAAATACTCAACTGCAATCGCAATTCCACGACAAGAAAAGAACTTTTTCAAACCATGGCTGTAAGAAAAATAGGTACATTTCAGTTAGGCACATTTAAAGCACAGTTAAAGCTTTTAAGAAAAAGGTAAAACGTAGATATAACAAAAATAATTGGAACATAAAATTTTCTAAAACTATTTTCTTGGTGTTCAACTGCATAGTTTGCTGCTTTGTAGAGCGAAGGTAGAATACATGAAAGAAGAAATTTTTACTAGAGATTTAGAATTTCTCCTGTATTTTGATTAGTTACTTCAGCTGAGGGTGCTGTAGTGATAGAAGGAAGTCCCAGCTTCGTGTTAATACCTGTTTACTGCACTTTATTTCCTTAAATGAAGAGACCATTGGGAGATAAGATTGTTTTCTAGTCCTGCCTAGCGGCTGGCCTCTTAAGTCTTTTTTGTGACTTTTAAAATAACTGCTGAAGCAGCTTAGCTGTGATTATGACTACTTCCTCTGCTTGCTGGGTTGAAGGGAAGAGATGATAAAGTGGTATGACCACCCCAAAGGGCTGCTGTGCCTCCTGTTCCCAGAGGCCCATCTTTTCTCTGAGTTACTGAGAAGCTGTGTGGGTCCCAGCTTACAGGACAACAAGCGAGGGCAGGACTCAAAAGAATCTTAACTTGGGCACCAAGGGAAGTGGTTCTGTTGAAGGAAGTAGAAAACAGAGGAAGAGGGGAAAAAAGAACCAAAAACAAACCAACAAAACATACAGGGAGCTGTACAGAACAGGTACCAACTTTTTCTATAAAGAACCAGATGGTCTCTGTTAGAACAGTTCAATTCTGTCATTGCAGTAAAAGCAGGCACACAGAGTTGTAAATGAATTAAAGTGTCTGTGTTCCATGTTTACAAAAACAAGTAATGGGCTGGATATGGCCCATAGTTAAGCCCTGGGCATATTGTTACTTGCAGATGAGCTGGAATCAATTCATAGCTGACCATCCAGCAGGATTTCAGAGGCTGTAAATCACATGGGAGAGATCGCTCATCCTTCTCCTGCACAACAGCTGGTGGATTCGAACTGCTTGCCTTCGAGTCAGCTGTGCAATTCCTTGTAGGAGTGGAATCCACATCCTAAACAAGTCCTCCGGAAACTCTATGAACTTTGATCAATGTCAATAGTTGTAGAGGGACGTCAAGCCTTTTGTTCATGGAATTGCTATGAGTCCTGCTCAACTCGAAGGCAATCAACAACAGGTCACCACAGCACCTAGTCCTGGTCTAGAGGGTTAAAAATACTCTCTCCGCAATCCCAGAGGTGTGTAGTTCAAATCCACCAGATGCTCTGCTGGAGAAGGAGGGACAATCTCCTCCTGTACCAGTCAGATCCAATTTTGGTGTTGTTTGTTGTTAAGTGCCCTCGAGTCGCAGGCGACTCATAGCAACCGTATGAAGGAGAATCATCAACGCTTGGGTGCCTTTCATATTCTCACCAGGTTCATAGGGTTTCTGGAGGCAAGCTATTATGGAAGTGGATGCCACACCTCCTTCCAAGCTTTTTATAATCGGGGAGCTCCACCCCACTCTCTACCCACATAATTTGACGGTACACACACAAAAAGAATAGTAATAATAAAAAAATACTGTCCAATAAAAAGTTCTGATGATAAAAAAAAACAAAAACCCAACCTAAGACATTTCAAAATTGATTCTTTCTGGGGAGCTCTGGTGGCCTAGTGGCAAGAAACTGCACTGCAATCCCAGAGGTACACAGTTCGAATCCACCAGAGGCTCTGCCGGAGAAGGAGGGACAATTTCCTCTTGTACCAGTCAGATCTGATTTGATAGTACACACACACAAAATAATAATAATTAAAAAAAAATTTATTCTTTCCAGAGGTTAGTGGAAGTAAAAGGGGAAAAATAAAACCCCAAATGTTTTCCAACACTTGAAATTCTGCAGGTGGTAAAATTCATCAGTAAGAATCGCTTCCTAACAGTATCAGAATGAAAAAGAAAAGATCACAATTCAAACATGTGCTGCTTTAATTTTATATTAGTAAAATCTATCTCACTGCTTTAAAATAGATTTCAGAGTCAAAAGTCCCACAACGGTGAATTCTTCATCTTCAGTCCTGTGTTGCATCCACCTCTGCTCTGGTCCAGGACTCAAGCCACTTTGCAGTTACCTAGTTCACATGAGAATTCTGCCGGCTCAGGCACAAAGTTAAACTCAGACACTCCTAATTTCAACCCACCCTTCCAACTCTGGTTGGACTAACCTTGAAATGCAGCCAGGGGGGGCCAGTGTGTCCTGCTCAAGGCCTTCCACAGCACTATCCTTCTAGACCAGTCCTCCGCCTGGCTTTGTGGCCCCCTCCACCTCTGACTACTCAGAAGGGATCTGGCCCCATGAACTTCCCACCACCATGAGTCAATACACTCTGGGTTCTGGCCGGGTGGTCTTGTCAGCTCCTGCCTCCTGGTCTCTGACCTTTTCCTCATGTCGCTGTCAATTTGTGTGCGATGTTCTTATACCTTCCCTCGCTCCCTCTTCACATTGTTTCAGAGCTCAATTCCAGTCCCTCTTCTTCTATGAAGCTTCCTCCAGACACAGGTCCTCAATCATCTCCCTTTCTCTCCTCTGACTTTCTATCCTGTACTGTGCACTAGAATCACAGCCTGTGGAGACGGAATGGAATTTAGATTCTTGTTAGAGACAAACAGAGCGAAGCACTGAGAGGCAGAGCAACCAGCCTGAGATCGCACAGCCAGTGAGTGGAGGAGCTGAGCTGAGACTGGCACTACTTGCGTTGAGGCCAATGCTCTTTCCTTGACCCCAGAGAAGTTTTGTTACTCCCATTCATCTAAGTTTCTTGGGAGCAGGGACGAGTGAGATACTGGACACACACACAGAGCACAGTGAAAACAGATACCTAAAAAGCTGCTTAGAGATGCCTCATTCCAGAGCTTAAGTCCACTCTTTCAGGGAAGCCCTAAAAAGAGACAAGCAGCCTATAGAACCCAGAAAACATATATAATTAAACAAGCCCATTATCTACAAGCATTAAAATATAGTGATAATGTAACCACATTAACATTTGTTACTAAGGGGAAAAATAAGTGAGGGTGGTTTGTTTGAGGAGAACATATCCGGCTTCCTACCCTTACAGAGAATATATTGGGGGGGGGGCGGTAATCATCGGGTCGCACGATTTGATGAGTAGAGGGAGGGGTGGGTAAAGAAAATGGGAAAGATCTGGTGTGAAAAAACAATGTATAAGAACTCTGTAAGTAAACTAGTTGTTGTTGTTGTTATGTGCCGTTGAGTTGCTTGCAACTCATAGGGACCCTATGTACAACAGCCCTAAACTCTACTCTGTCCTGTGCCAATCACACTGTCTCTGACACTCCCATCCCGATTATCCCAGTCACTGAATCAAAAATTTTATTTTTGCAAGAAGCTGCACTGCAATCCCAGAGGTGCATGGTTCGAATCCACTAGATGCTCTGCTGGAGAAGGAGGGGCAATCTCCTCCTGTACCAGTTAGATCCAATTTGACGGTAACCACACACATTTTTTAAAAACAGATAATATATAATTTATAATTGTTCAACATTAAGAACAGGCCTAGCTAGGGTTAATGTCAGCCACAGCTCAAACACAAAACTCCAATATACAACAATCTTAGAAAAAAATCCAGTCCCATTCCACAGGGTAACTGAGGGAAACATAGATATAATCAACAATTTGTTATTTGTGCCATTGAGTCAGAACTAACCCACAGCCAACCCTCCAGTGGATTTTCAGAGGCAGTTAACTGCATGGGAGGAGACTGTCCATCTTTCTCCCACAGAGCAGCTGGTGGATTCGAAATACGTGCCTTTGGGGTTGCAATGTAGTTAGGAAATGCAGGTATAAAAAGAAATTCTGTCAACCAGGACAGGTCAAGTTTGGGAAAGAAAGGAATGTAATTTTTAGGAGGAAAACCCCCTCTTGTTGCTGTCAGCTTGCAACTAACCTGCCGCTGATCTTCCACTGGGCTTGGGAGGCTGTAAACTGCATGGAAGGGGACGACTTCTCTTTTTCTCACAGAGCTACTGGTGGATTTGAACCGTCACAATGGCACCACCTTTGACCCTGCAGTGCAGCTTGGTACAGACTATGCCACCAGAGGGCCCTTGTTTCCAGAAACAAGCTCTACATTGATTTCCAAAGTGTTATCCTTAGTAATAGCACTTTTGAGTCTCTGAAAAGTCTGTAGAGTTGTACTGGAGTAAAATAAATGACTCTGGAAAACATACAGGTTTTATCCAGAACTTAAAATGACCGGGGGATTTGAGAAAAAAAAAAATCAAGTGGCATTAAATCAATGGCTTCAAAACAGCATAGTGAATCCACGAAGGATTCTTACTACTTCAATTCTAACATCCTGATCAGGCAAGTATTTGCTTCATCATCCCTGCTACCCATCTCCTCTGCAATCTCACGAGAAGCTTTTTAGTAAACCTAGACTCAGCGACACAGTGAAAACACACACACACACACACACACACACACACACACACACACACACACACCCAATATACCTGGAAAAGACAAAGCACAGGGGCTTTTAAATCCAAATACATCACTATGGTCAACTTCTGGGCCTATGAGGCCATGTGTGCAGGCTCTCAAGATGTCGACTGCAGTTTGCACACAATACTAACAAGGTGTGTTACCTGCTGTGTTACCTGGCATTTCCCATGTGTGAGCAAGCAGGCTACAGGAAGAAGACTGCTCAAGGTGTAGGAGAGATGGGTGCCAGATCCCTGATGAAAATTCATGAGGAGGAAAACCAGACAGGGTCGTATAATGCAACAGTGACAATACTTTCTGAGTCACCCAAGAGTAATTTCTTCCTATAGTTTCCATTTAAAAGTAATGATGTAACCCTGATTTTTCCCTGATTGGGAAAGTCTGCTGTCAGGGACCTCTAGAGTACTGAAGAGCAACAATGTCAGTCTGGAGACTAAGGTGCACCTGATCCAGGCCATGGTCTTTGCAATTACTCGCTAAGCATCAGAAAGCTGGACAATGACTAGGGATGATAAAAGGAGAATTGATGTCTTTGAGCTGTGGTGCTGGAGAAGAGTACTGAATATACCATGAACTGCTGGGAGAACAAAAAGGTTCAACCTGGAGGGTGGAAACAAGGCTTCTCTGTCGAGGCAAGGATTCTGAATTCCATCTGACATACTTTAGGCATGCTGCAAGGAGGGACCAGTCCTTGGAGAGGGCTATCATGCTTTGAAGGGTGGAGAGAGGAAGGCCCTGGATGAGATGGATTGACTCAGTGGCTGGGGTAATGGGGGTAGGTATGTCAGAGACAATAATGTTGATTCAGACTAGAGCAGGGTTCAGACCTGTTGTATATTGGGTTGCTATGAATGGCAAGCAACTTGACGGCACATAACAAGAAGACAACAACAACCATGATTTAGAACAGTGGTTACATTTTTCGTATTTCTGACATGTAAAGGTATAAATTTCATTCACCCAGAATGAGAGGTGGTGTTATGCTAAAGTTTCAGAACGAAAGAGCCCACGCAGTATTTGGTCACCACTGTGCTGCCTAACCACCTACCACAAACAGTTTCCATTCACTCATCATTTGACTTCCTCATGGTGGCATGGGGAACACTGAGGGGGGGATATGCAATCAGTAGCATAAAGAAGGGTGTTCTTGAATTGCTCCCTGCATACGCTTTGCAGAAATCCAGGGACAGGTGATCATGGATTGCTGTAGGGCTCAAACCACAGATCCTATTACTTAAGAGCTCGAATTTCTTACTTCCTCAACCAATTGTGTCAAGTGTGTGAGGCTTACTCAGCAGTGCTTAAGCAATCTGTGTTCACAAGACCTGAAAACCCCATCCTCAACTTCTGCGGGAGGAAATGGTGTATGGTAGCAATGGTGTCAAGCATCATGTAGGTTCTTATCTCCTATTAACCCTAGACAAGATTTTGAAAATTTTTCTAGTTCATTTCATGGTAAATAAATTACAGATAATTTTTATCTCACAAAATTAGTGTGAAGCTTCTATTTCTAGAATTAAATATATGGGTTCAGCTAAAATTTAATCTAAATGCTCATGGGAACACTGCCTATGAATCTGAAAATGAGTGATTAAGTAATTTTAAAAAGTGCAATCTTCTATAATTCTTTAATTCCCTTATCCATTCAACAACATTGATCCCTATGACCAGACATTGGGAACAGCTTAATAAACAGAACAGACTCAGATATAACTCAGACTAATGCTGAAGTTATTTAGAATAAGAATAAATAAGGGGAGAAAAATTACAGCAAATTAAAGAGATGTCTTTGTAGGGTAACACGTGTTTGATAAAAGTGTCGCTTTTAAAATAGAACATCCTTGAAGTTCAAGAAAATGCAAATGCTTCCAAATTAATCTATCTTAAAAAAAAACCAAACCAAAACACTAAAGGAAGTTCTAGCAGAGCTTGTGTGTTGCCTCAGTGCACTAAATGAACTGTTTGCTAAAGAAAACCTGTACTCTAGGGACTATTAGGAAAGCTATACATAGGGGTGCCCTCAGTGGAGACTGGCAAAAGGGGAGATGTTAGACAGGGAAAACAGATTCAAAGAGAACTAGTACCACCCCAAATTCCACTAGTGACCTCTCTGAGCAACACACTAGCTATATCAATCCACATATATTACTAATGTTAGGTTCCAAACATCAAGTTTCTACGTAAAACTCTGAATTATGCAAAACTTTAACTATCACAACCACTATCACTTTCACCGTGCACCTAGAGAGGTCACTGCTATTGTATACCGCCACAGACATATTGCTATTAATGCACTATTAAGAGGGTTCTGTGGGAGAAGGATGGACAATCTTCTCCCGTGCAATGAAGTGCCTTTGAAAACCCACTGGAGGGTCAGCTATGGGTTGGTTCTGAATCTAGGGTACACAACCACAAGCACCACCACCACCACCAGTTTTAATATTGTCTTAATGCAAAATTTCAGATAACCAGAGAGTCAATAAATGAAAAGGTTTCCTTAAGTGCCATTACAACCAGTAATTCTAGGTTAATTTGCATTTCTTATGCTTTGAACACAAATTTGGAAAATTCTTCCGCAGAGTTCTCACTGCCAGTGGGTTGGTTCTAACTCACAGCTGACCAGTGGGTTTCCAAAGCTGTAAAAGCACAGAGGGGACTGGTCATCCTGAGGAGTGGCCGGGGGATCTGAAGCACCAGAGAAGGATAGCCTTTGGTTTAATAGCACAACTCTGTGACCAAAGCTCTTCTCCATATGTTGTTGTTGTTAAGTGCCGTCGAGTCGCTGGCAACTCATAGCGACCCTATGAAGGAGAGTCCTCAACGCTTGGGTGTCCATCATCCTCTCTCCAGGTTCATAGGGTTTCCGGAGGCAAGCTATTACGGAAGTGGATGCCACTCCTCCTTCCAAGCTCCTCTCCATATAGAGCATCACTATTACAACGATGGCATGCATGTTACATCACCACTTGGCTCAAGAGACTGTACCAATGAAGAACGGGCACTGGGTGTGAAACACAGAGGACTGAAACTGTACTGTACATTTGTACACAGATAATTATATGCAACTATGGGATTCGCTTGGGTTCCCCCACCCCAAACAGAGCTGCAAAAAAACCCAAACTTAAATGATAACAGTAGACTAAAAAATCCTGGCATTGGAAAACACCAAGAAAATAGCAACTCCCAGCAAAATACAGGTCCGAATAGTTTTTTTTTTTTAAAACGTACGGAAGTCTTGTTCATCAGTAGGCAGTGCAATGTGAAAAGCATCTCTTATTATCAGACATAGAAGGTCAGCAGGATGAAAGAGAAATCACAACCCCAGAGGCTGGAATGACAAAACCTTCCCAGGCAGCTGTACCCCCGTCTCCCAACACCCAGGGAAGGTTAGAGATCAACTCAACAGACGCAGAGTGTAAACTCAAATTGTAGCTGGTTGGGAACCAACTCACAGCTGACCTGCCTGGGGGTTTTCTGAGGTTGTAAACCGCACAAGGAGGAGACTGGCCATCTTTCTCCCATGGAGCAGCTTGTGGATTTGAACCGCCAGAGACGCGCTCCCTCTGGGTTAGGAACACAATTCCCTACAGACTGTGCCAGCAGAGCTCCCAGATGCACATGGTCACACCTAGAAATGTCATTTTGGGACACTGCTTATTGCCTTATTCAAAATGGTAATATTACTTACAAAGAGTGGACTTACGTAATTGCAACATTGCTCCCGTCTATAACAATGTGCTTCAAATCCGTTCTCCCTGGTTCGTTTTTTAATTCCAGCTTGTAGGGTACCTTTAGAGTATCTCGGAATCTTTGAACCCCTGTAACTGAGGCATCAATGTGATCAGATGGTCCTGGGAGCCTTGCCTCGGTAACCGAAGGCAGGCGCACGGGTGGAGAAAGGGGTGGGCAATTTGGCTTAGACTGAGGAGAGCTACCACATCCGGAACGACTCTCGCAGGCAGGTTTCAAATTATTTGGAAGGAAGGATTCTGCTTGGTGCTGCAAACCATTTTCAGGAAAAAGGACAACTCTGGACTGGTGACTTGCGGTTCCCCTCGAAACAAAACTGACAACTTCCTCTTTGGGATTGGAAGGGACACCGGAGGGTAAAAGGCCATCCGTTTCAAGGTCTATGTTACAAATGTAGTTCTGGTTTGAACTCCAGATTTCTTGTTTCTGTTCTGTCGGCACTGTTCTGTAAGTATTAATTTTGCAATTTGAGGTACATGGTTTTGATTCTGCTGTAAATGGCGAATGAGAAAATTTTTCTATCATAGTTTGCTGTCTGTGAGCTTGTGTTTTCTTTAGAGAGGGATCCACTGTGAGGTCACTTATGCTGCTATTATAGACATCTTTCGTTTTGGTTTTGTTGGTCTCTGGATACATAGTACCAGGTGCAAATTCTTTGTCTCCTTGGAACCTTTTATTTTCTTTTTCAATTTCCTCTAAAAGCAGTAATGGTTCGGTAGATGGCCCAAATTCCTTAATGATCTTTTCAACAATTTCTTGGGAATAGCCCATGGTTTTAAAAAAGTTTACAAGGATGTTGTACTCCATTTCCTCAGTGGTGTCTTTTCCATCTGGACTTAAATGCTCAGAATCAGGTAAGTCAGTGATTGTATTTTTGGTTGGGGCCTTACCATCACATAAAAGCTTCCCATCTTGAGCATTTTCCAAAGAATACTGTTTCTTGGTATGCCTTTCTTCAGAATCAGAAGATCTCCTCTTATGACAAATTCTCTCTTTGGAAAGTCCTTCTTCATCTGGGGGTAGGCCATTTACAGGTACAGAGCGTGCATCTGGTGAACTAGAAAAGACTGCGTCCATTTGTTTTGTAAGCTCAGTAACAGGGGTGCCAGCTTTATTTCTTGTCTCTTCCTGCAAAATCAGTTCATCTGTGGAAATATTCAAACTTGTGGCAGTCTTAGGTGGAAACTCTGTTTGATTTAAATCTCTAACTTCAGTAACCTCATCGTTTCTGGTTTCAAAGAGATTGTCTTCACCTTGTGTGAGCGCCAAAAGTTCTTTTTTCAAGGAAGTGGGCAAAATCAATAAGTCCATGGTATAATTGTCCGCTCGAGCTTCAACGAGTTGTTTAAATTCCCTTTTCACTTCTGATTCTTTCTGACTACTGGGTAGGTTCTCATTATTTTCAAAGAGCTTTACAAACTGCTGGATGTGGCTCCTGGCCATGACCACAGCCTCGGCACTCCCTCTGATGCCAAGAAGACCAATGTCCAGAATGCACAGGTCGGCACAGGTATCCTGAATCAAGCTCTTCAGGAACAGGCGCTGTGCCCCAACAAAAATGCAGTGCAAGGCTTTGGGGTAACATTCTTTTTCTTCTAATTCAGGTTCACAGACTCCTTTAATATATTCCTATAAGGAGAAGATCGAGAAATTAGATTTTTTTACAGAAGCCCCACATTTACAAAAGTACGTATTATTTTACACATAGGATTTAAAACGTCAAGCTGATTTTGCAAAAATCAAAAGCATGTTGATAACTCTGGGGAAAATGCAATGTTATAAACAAAAGATTTAAAGTAAGCTGCTTCATCATCATCCAAGGAACTGAAACATTTGTATCTAAATCCAAATGCAGGTATTTGTGAAATTCTCCATTATCTAAATGAATCTATCTTGCAACATGATTTTAGGTGTTTGCCCAGCCACACAGTGGAGCATCACACACTACACTTAGTTACATTTACAAAGCACAAATACATCAGTTGTTTACTACCAATATGACAGAATGAGAAGAAAAGCAATTTATCAGGACAAACAATTTACTTGAGAACAAATCTTAGTTCTAACTTTGCTTTCCATATAAAACAAAGCTACTTAAAAAGAACACATTGTCTTAGCAATAACAAATTCCCCAGCTGGACTGGGAAAATATACCCTATTTTATATCTGTTTTCTAAGAAAGACAACACTGTTTTCATATAGGTCTAACATTAGTCTGTGGGTCACGAGATCAAGTTGTATACCACTAGGGAACAACCTGATGGCATGGAAGTGGAAAATGTTGAGAAGTTCTGTTTTTCTCAAAGTTAAGCTATTCAGTGATTTTCTTAAAATGTTTACTGTGATTCGAGTGAAAGTTTACAAAGAAAATTGGTTTTTACATTAAATCATTCATACACATTTTGTTTTGTGACATTAATCATAGTGACCACATTATAACCACTCTTAGCACTTTTCTGTGGTTCTTGTTTCCATTAATCCATCTATCCTACCCATTCTTAACGTGTAAGCATGTTCCTTGGGCAAATGCGATGTTTTTATCTTTATGCAGCTAGTTATCCTAAGGAGCGAGAACCCAATCCGTTTGGCTGAACGTTGGGCCTGGGGGTAAATTTTGTTGTAGGTTTGAGAGGTGAATGAAGACCACTTACTGAGGGATCCATTGATCTCCACTGGGCCAGTAAATCTGCCCATTTTTATGTTTGAAAGAGGCCTAGATGAGATAAGAAACTGAACTGGGTTCTCAGAGATAAGGAGCTGTGCTGCAATCCCAAAGGTGCTCAGTTCAAATCCATCAGATGCTCTGCAGGAGAAGGATGGGCAATCTCCTCCTGTGGGAGTAAATGCTTCTGAAAATCTGCTGCAGGTTCAGCAAAGAGTCATTTTCGACTTGATGGCAAATAATAGCAATACTGAAGGCAGAGTATAAAACAAGTAGGCATGCATGCAAGCAAGGGCCATTCACTGCCCCACTTCCCTTAAAAATCAGAAAAAACAGCAGTGAAATATACTCATTAAGGACCTGGGATTTGGAACTTGTGTTCTGGCCTCAAACCCCTGCCACATAATTTTTGTGACATTGTTGAAGCTAAATAATGCCTCTAAGCCTCAATTTCTTCTCTCTACTGAAGGATAAGGAGGGTATGATCTTAAACTTGAGATTTCAATGGGATAATCAATGAAGAGTTTTGGCAAGAATGTCTTGAACACAGTAAATCCTTATTAAATAGCAAAAAATTTTCTTAATTATCAAGGAAATTGATAACTTAATTATCAAGGAAAACAGAGCAGACATGTGAGAAATGAGCTAAGTGATAACTGATCTATACTTTAATTAGAACGGTGTAACCAAAAATATCGCTATTTCAACTCAAAATAAGGTTTTGAAATATTTCACCTACTGATGTGTCAAACGTGGTAATGGTTACCCATGGTGGAGCTCCCCAATTAAAACAAGCTTGGAAGCAGGAGTGGCATCTACTTCCATAATAGCTTGCCTCTGGAAACCCTATGAACCTGGAGAGAGGATGAAAGTCACACAAGTGTTGAGGACTTTCATTCATAGGGTCGCTATGAGTTGTCTATGACTTGACGGCACTAACAACAACAACATACTTGTTAAGAAGGGAGCTCTGGTGGCCTAGTGGCAAGAAGTCACACTGCAATCTTGAAGGCACGTGGTTCAAATTCACCAGCTGCTCAGCGGGACATGGATGGGTAATAGCTTCCGGTGTGATTAACTGTCTCTGAAAATCTGCCAGACGGTCAGCTGTGGGTCAGTTCCGACTGGACAGTACACAACATACTTGTCAGGGAACTCTGGTGGCCTACAGGTTAAGAAGCTGTGCTGCAATCCCAAAGGCAAGTAGTTCAAATCTAGCAGCTACTCTAAGGAAGAAAGATGGGCCATCTCTTTACAGCCTTTGACAACTTGCTGGAGGGCCAGCCAGCTATGTATGGGTGGTTCTGCCTCGATAATACCCAACACCATAATAGTTTACACTTGTTAGGTTGACAGCCACTAAGTTAGAATTTATATTCAAATATGTGTTCATTTTCCTCATGCACCTAGAATTTAGAACTACAAAATTCCTGAGCCGGTAAAACATCAGAAATACAATAAAAATGCCACAGAGGAAAAGCTTAATCTAATTGTGCTCATACATAATCTCAATCCTTGGACCAGGAAGCAGTAGTCAGAACAGAGCAGTCAAACACTGATCAGGAAAGATGTGCATCGGGGATGCATCCTATCTCCATACCTTTTCAGTCATGATCACCAATCTTTCAGATACTATAGGTGCAAATATAACGGAATTTAACACTACTTCTTGTTGTTGTTATTATGTGCCATCGAATCATCAGAGACTCATAGCAACTCTATGTACACCAGCTCTGAAAACTGTCTTATCCTAAACCAATCTCATTGGCTCCAACAGACTTAATCCCATTTCTCCAGTCACTGAGTCAATCCATCTCATCCAGGGTCTTCCTCTCTTGTACTGTCACTCCACCCTTCCAAGCACAATGTCCCTGTCTAAGGACTGGTCTCTCCTGCCCCAAGTATTTCATCAAAATCCTTGCCTCCAGGAAGCAGCCCAGTTTCACCCTCTCTCTAGGACAGACCTACCTGTTTGTTCTCTTCGCCAGGAGGGGCCAACAACAACAAGTAGTGTTAGGTTCAGCTATTATTTACACTTACAGTATCTGAAAGCTTGGTGATAGAGAACAAAGAAATCTGGGGCAGGACAAACAACCCTTGTCTTTCAATAAGATAGTCTGCCAATTCCGTCATAAAACAATTAATACAAAGTGTTAACAATACAAAGCAACCAATCATTCTTTCTTCCTGGATATGTGTATGCACAGAGATAAGTATATATGCCTGTCCCCTGAAAGCAGCCCTGATTGTTTAGTGCTTAACTTGACAAGGCTGCTATCAGTGAGGTCAGAGGTTAGAATCCACCAGGTGCTCCACAGAAGGACGATGGGTGGCCTCTCCTCCCCTCCCAGAAAGATGTATAGCTTCTGACACCCACTGGAGGGCTGTTAGGAGCTGGAGTGAGCTAGATGACAATGAGGTCTGAGTATTGCTCAAAATGTTAAACGGGCAACGTTTTATTATTGCTTGTTTGAATTCATGGTGTTCTGCGTTTACACTGTTGCCTGAATACTTATATTTTTAATATTTTATTGTGAAATGATTACAGGTTCATATCTATTGATGTCAGGTCAATTTCAATTTCTAGTGACCCCCTATTGGGTTTTCAAGGCTGAGACTCTTTATGGGATAAGACTGCCCATATTTCTCCTGTAAAGCAACTGGTGGTTTAGAATCACTGAGCTTTCCACTGGCACTAGTACACCACGCCATGGGATGATCCCTCACGGACTCATCTCAGAAACGCAACACTGCTGAGTCAGAACCCACTCATGGCTGACTCATGAACAGGTTTTCTGAGACTGTATATCACACAGGAGATTGTTCGTCATTCTCCCTCAGAGCCGTGGGGGGTTTGAACATTCAGAGGCGCTGTCTTTGGATTCGCAGAGAGCATCATGCCATGAAAGAGTTTCATCAAGGGGTCATAGCACACTGTGAAGACAGCAGAGAAAGCTGTCCCTGCATACTCTTCACTCAGTTCCCCCATTACATCTCCCATAATTATAAAAAAGTATTAAAACTAGGAATTCTAAATCACTTTTATCATATTTGGACTCCTGTAACCATATAGGAGAAAAGAGAACTAATGAATGACCACAAGAGACTTCTCTCATGCTCTCTTAGCATTCCTGTCTACAGTTAAGTGATTGTAAGGATGAGATCCCACTGCCCATTCCTCTCCTACAAAGGAACCTTCGGGTTGGCAGTGCAGCTCCGAGACCACTAGAGCGCCCTCCCACTGGTAGGACTCAATTTCTTCCTGAAGAATTTATTAAAAGTTTTTTGTTGGTTTTTTTTTTCTCATTAAGTGGGGGAATATAAAAAAGAGATCTTACGTGACCCTCCAGCTGTTCTGTGAGAGAAAGATGAGGCAGTCTGCTCCGATAAAAATTTACAGACTTAGTGATGCCATGTTGTTGTGAAAACTGAGTTGGAGCTGACTGGTAGCTGCCCCTTCAATGGGTCTTCAGGGGCAGTTAACTGCACAGGAGAAGAATGCCCATCTTTCTCCTATGAGAAACGCTATACGACAGTTCTAGTCTGTCAGAGAGTTATGTGTCAGAGCCGACTTGATGAGAGTGGTTTATTTAACTATCCAGGAAATATGCTGGCACAGGGGTTTAAAGCATGTGGCTAACCAAAAGGTCCATGGTTCTAACCCACCAGCCGTTCTCTGGAACAAGGATAAAGAATGCAGCTTCTGTAAAGAATTAAAAAAAATAAGAATCGGTTTTCACATAAGGCCTATAGTCCTCCTTGGGTAAGACCGGACGGACTCTCTACAATAAAGAGACAAGAAAACAGAAAAAACAGGTACAAAGATGGTAATGCTGGAAATTGAGTTTAAGAAGAAATGCCCTTAAGTAGTATTACAAACAATGAACAAAGGAAAACACTGAAGGAACACATCACATAAGGACTGAAGAAGGAACACAGCCTGGAGAGTGCAGAGTGAACATTCTGA